CTGTTTTACCAGACTACCGTTCGGAATTACGTCCGCTCCGGAGTATTTCCAGAAAAGAATGTCCGAAATCCTATGTGGTCTGCCAGGAGTCGTCAACGTCATGGACGACGTTTTAGTGTTTGGCGAAACGAAAACCCAGCATGATGAGCGTCTAGCTGAGGTTATGTCGCGCCTAGCTAGCGCAAACGTGACTCTGAACAAAGAAAAGTGTCTGTTTGGGGTTAATAAAGTGCGATTCTTGGGCCATATTCTGAATGAGAATGGCATTGAGCCTGATCCAGCGAAAGTCAGCGCGATTAAGAATCTAAACGCACCGAAAAATGTGACCGAACTAAGAAGCTTGCTCGGCATGGCCAATCATCTAGGTCGCTTCTTGCCTCATCTTGCGCAAATTACGGCCCCGATGCGTGCTCTTTTGCACAAAGATAGCGAATGGGTCTGGGGGTGTGACCAAGAAAAAGCACTGAACGAGCTGAAAGGGCTCATTTGTTCTGCGCAATGTATGGCCATGTACGATGCAACGCTTCCAACTGTACTTTCAGCTGACGCATCCTCTTTCGGGCTGGGAGCTGTCCTTTACCAAGCGCAGAAAGACGGTCACCGCAGGCCGATAGCTTTCGCATCTCGTTCCCTCACGAACACAGAGCGAAGATACTCCCAGATAGAAAAAGAAGCGCTAGCACTGACGTGGGCGGCTGAAAGGTTCGATGAATACATACGTGGCCTAAATGTTATTTTCGAAACGGATCACAAGCCTTTAGTGTCGTTGCTGGGTCAGATGGCCATTGATGATATGCCACCCCGAATTCAACGGTTCCGGCTATGACTAATGCGCTATCTTTACAGTGTCCAGTATGTTCCCGGCAAATCGCTAGTCACGGCCGACACTCTTTCGCGGTCCCCTGTCAAATGCGGCGACTCCGAAAAGGGGTTGTGTGTGTCGGAGGTCACAGCATATTCTAAGGCGTGTTTGCTTGGAAACGGGGGACAATTTTTTGTCTAGAGTGAGAGAATGTCAAATTAAGGATGACATTTGTAAACACCTCATCAGACTGTGTAAAACCGGTTGGCCGAAGAAACCAAATGTTCCTTCGTTTCTCACGCCATACTGGCAAGATAGAGCATGCCTTAGCGTGGTTGATGGTCTCTTGTTGAAAGGAACAAGGCTCGTAATCCCACAGTCTCTAAGAACAGAAGTGCTGCGCAAACTGCACGATGGGCACCAGGGCATCGGCCGTTGTCGCAGTGTTGCTAAAGGTTCTGTCTGGTGGCCAGGATTGAGCACCGAACTGGCACTGTTCGTGAATCGGTGCACTGTTTGCGCACAACATGCTCCGCAACAAGCCGAGCCGATGATGGCAACCGCAACACCATCGTTTCCTTGGGAGAGAGTGGGAGTTGATCTGTGTGTAATCAACGGCCAGGCGTACCTTGTCGCGGTTGATTATCTTTCACGTTCTTGCAGACCGCTGCGACTTCGCGGATATGAAGGAACGGCTCATCCGGGACAAGTTTGTCGTCGGGCTTCGTGACGCAAAACTATCCGAGGCCCTGCAGATGGATTCGCAGCTGACATTGGCTACAGCACTGGCCAAGGCGCGTCTCAAAGAAACCGTGCGACAGCAGCAGCAGAGCCTCCGACCGGAAGGTCTACACTCCGGGAGTTCGCCGGAACTTCAGGACCGGGGCGCCAACGTGGATGCCGTGGACCACCAGAGACGTCCACAACGCAACAGGGGGCGGTGCCTGTACTGCGATGGCGACGCCCACCCGAGGTCGGCGTGCCCGGCCAAAACTTCCAAGTGCCACAACTGCGGCAACAAAGGACACTTTGCGAAAGCATGCCTCAAGAAAGTTGAGTCAGCGCAAAGAAAGGTACGCGTCTCGGCTGTCCAACACGACACCGGGGAAGCTTTCATTGGCGCGATTGACGCGGACCGGAAAGCGCGCTATGTGCAGGTTCGGATAAACTCGGTGCCCATCCTCGCTAAGGTTGATTCGGGCGCGGAAGTGTCAGTTTTACCGTCTACTTTTCCAGGATTGCCCACCCACCTTGATAAGGCAGACGAGGTACTACAGGGGGCCGGCGGCAACAAGCTCAACGTATTAGGCAAATTTGTAGCCGAGATTGCGTGGAAAGAAAAAACTGCCCGTCAAACGTGCTACGTAGTTAGCCCTCTCCGCGACGTACTTCTCGGGCTGCCAGCCTTGGAAGCACTAGGTGTCGTTAAATTTACCGACTCACTTACTGCAGATAAAGAGCGGTACGAGACACTTTTTCCGCACATGGGTCGTAGCCTAGGAACTATCCCACTTCTGACACCATGTAGCGATACCGCATACTAGGCGTATGCGTGCCGGAAAGAAGTCAGACGACGAACTGCGCTCTAGGTCATGAAGGAACCAAAAAGCCCCCGTTTATTGATCGGGCCGATAATATACACTGCCGGGAACATCACGTGATCATGACGCTGGGCGGACGGGCCAGCGATAACAACATAGGCAAGCGATAACAGACAACAACACAAGTCCGACGAGACCGAAGAACCTAAACTCTTGGAGCGCTGCCGCCGACTGCAACAGACAAAGCGAGGCGCGCGCATGGAGAACGCCCGCTCGTAGCGCCGGCGTAGCGGATGTGCCTGTCCCTAATACGTGACCTGCAAGAGACCGCAGAAGTTCCCCGCCTACCATCCTCCCTTCCCCTTCCCCCCTTCTTCCCCTCCCCCCCCCCCCCCCTTCTCTCCACCTCCAGTCAAGAATGTGCGCACCCGCTGGCTGGGAGCAGACCCCCACCCGTCACCGTGTAGTTTGAGTGCGTTGCGTATCACTGGATCTAACTGGTTAGACCCAGAACCGCGCGATACCAGACCGGATTAGCGCGGGTCTGAACAGTCCACAAGTTTAGAACCGCGCGGATCCGCACTGGAACCGCTCCGATCTGACATTTTCGTATGGGAGACTACTTCCACAAACCCCTGCATGCAAAACTGCGCGCGTTACACTTTGGGGAATAGGTGGCCAGGGAGGAGAGTGGCATGGTTTCGGTTTCAATCGACACGTCGACAAGAGATCATACACAGAGTGTGGACTATTAACGGCCGTTATCTCATGTTTTCTGGTACCGAGAGTGTCATTTTTGGTCTCTAAACTAACCTAAATTGCCAGACCTCGAAGCTTTAGCACAAACCCGAGACGCGTAGCTTGTCCTAACACATGATTGTTGTATTTTTCTGCTCGAGCCTTTCAATTAGCGTTTCGAGGTACGTGAACGAGCCAGTGCTGGGAATCTAGACGCTGCAAAGCTCGGGGGTCTTGGTTGTGTACGAGTTAACAAGCTGTAACAACCAATATTATGCATACATCGAGCTCGCACCTTTATATTAGTGTGGCTGGTCAGGAAGTTCTTTTTTTTTTGTGTGCGTCCATAGAGTAAATATAATTTTTTGCAGTTACTGCTGAGTACACGAGTTAAAGCTCGGAGGCGCCATTTAAAAGCTCAATTTGAACACACTTCTTATTTCTTATCTGTACTGATCCGCAGCAGTGCACGAAGCGAAGTCCCCACCCGCTTGCATTCCACTAATATTTAACATCGAGTATGCGCATAAAGTTATCTTCCAATCATATAGTCACTTTGTCACTTACAAACCGTTTTAAGAAAGCAAAAGTCGAGCGGTTTTGTGAAGATTGTCGCACCGTTCGCCGGAAGTGCGCCCGACGGGTATGGACCACTACGCGGTGCGAAAAACGAACGAAATTATTTAAAGAGCATTTGACGGTTGCTAATGGCCATAATATTTGTTATGTGTTTGCTTTCTTTCTGAATGAGTATGCCGAAATAATTTCAGACACACCGTTCAGACACAGATGTTGTGAGTCAGGTAATACTTGTCCAAAAAGGCTTAGCGAGGAGTAGGGGACGCTTGTTAGAGCATGGCCTCCGATATCCCGAAGCGCCATGGTTTTTGCCTTCGTCGTAGCTAGCTGAACTCAGCGTTCGCGAAAGCTGAAACTCGCATCAGCATAAAATTTGAGTTGGAGATAAACGATGAGACGTGGAAAACATCATAGTAACTTTTGTGCAGTAGTGAGGTCGAATTCATTGCGTTTCCTTAAAAGTTAGTGCGTCAAACCTGGGCTCAACTTTGATACTCATGTGATGGTGCGGCTTGCGTTTCGCCCAATAAAGTAATAAGAAGCGGACGTTTGGCAAACAAAATACATGTAAGTCTCAAGGTGACAAAATTTTAGTTGTAGTTCATCGGTACTAGACGGGATTATTGAAATTGACGTCAAAAATGCATTCGTGGGGTGCGGTGACTAAGCCACGTCTTACTACGTTTGCATTCGCACGCGCGAGTGTTTCGGGAACAAATGAAAGTGCCCCGGTCTTTGTTTTGTATAGCTCGAGAATCAGTGTAGTGTACATTCGTGAAAAGTCAGATAATTGAAAACGCAAGCAGAGCATTCGATCACGGCGTGATAGCATGAAATGAAGCTGATCAATCGAAAGCGAAACTGAGTGGCCAACTAGTTCTCAGGGTGCACTACGTGGTAGAATGCAGCTATGGGGCGCTTCGATATTCAAAGAAGTTTATTCAAGAAGATTGTAAGTGCTGTGATATGGAACCGCTGGGGGACGTCGTATAGAAATTCTTTGTTTTGCGATATTCCCACACAAGTAAGACATTTACATTCCCGCTCTGATTGTTTGTAGGGAGAATTTATTGTAAACACTAATTTACTGAAAGCTGAATTTGTATGTACTAGTGGAAGTCATAACGGGGTAGAAACCTTCTCAACAACGTGTGTACTGGGATGGCACTAAATGTATATTCTTTAACGGCTTATATTTTTGAGAGTTTTTCGACATAAATTAATCTTGAGCCGAAAAAATAAATATTTTTATTGACTTCAATACGCTTTTGAACGACAAGAGCAAAATCAAACCTTCATTTCCATGGGTACACGTGTTAAGTAAGAAATCATAAAATGGGCAAAGAAAGGTAGTTTGCAGAAAATGATTGCTGCTCTATGGGCCGAATCAAGTTTTACGTGCCGCCAGGATAAATATAAATACCTCTGAATTTCCCACCAAAGACGGAAGCTGCTTGGGCCGGTATCTTTCTATCTGGAAGCCTGCATCAGTGACGGCTTCTTTCAGTACGTCTTCGGTAAGGTTCGCATGAGGAAAATTAAAGGTTCCTACGGGATAGCTCTTTATGCCACCGGCGCCGATAATGACAAGCAGACCGCCGGGTTTCACGAGTGGTGCAACGTTGCAAATCACCCTTCGGAAAGATTCGTGGTCTGCTGCGGCCGCGTCCAGGCATCCATTGGAAATAACAACGTCGAAGGTTTCCCTGTGTTCCATTGGGAGCACCCCGGGCTCCAGCACATCGCAGGGTACCACCTTCCGGATGGCTGACCGTGTGCGCTCGATTATTTCCAACGCTCCCTTCTTGATGTCGCTGGAAAGCGGGACAAAGAAGTGGTGGTCAGTTCTTACGCAGTTAGGCATTGTGAAGTTGAGTACGAATACGCGCAGAAACATCGTAAGCATTAGGGGTTAAGGGCTCCTTTTTAAGCGCTTCGGGTGAAGTTATTCATAGAGTCAAAAGACGCACCCCACGTGACAGTGGAGTAAAGAGATTCTTCGAGTCAAGAGATCGAACGGATCAAGATAGTCGATTGGTGCAGATGGTCAAAACGAGTCAAGAAATACGCAGAGCCATAAGACCTATAACTTGTTAAAGGTCGACACAACAGTTGATTAGATTTACGCGAGACAAGTTTACTATTAGTGAAAAGGCGACAAAAAGAGAGTTTGCCTTACAGGAAAATCATTTTTGATTTTGCTTTTATCTCTCAATCACGGTTTTTGCTTTAAAGCTTTGGTACTTTAAATTTTTTAAAGTTTTTTTAGACATTTAAGTAGGTCCTTTGTTGGGTATGATTAAACTATTCTAGGCTTCACGTGCTAGGTAGGGCTTGTTGGGTTTCACGGATATCGCTGATGTGCCTGGGCAATTTTGGAAAGCCAAGGCGTACACATCCTTCTCGCTTGCACATCTTTTCGTTGCACGCAAAACCCCGTTCAGATTTGTCCAATCTCTCACCGCTATGTACTTCATGACACACATCTCCCGCGCGGAGAGAATGCAGTGATTAGAGCGGTGTTGTTACTTTGAAGAATACTAGTGGCATTAGTGTCTAATTTATTAGGGCTATTCATCTTTTACTTGCACCACACGTTTTCAGCTTTCAAGTGGGACATAGGGTACATGTATGGGCAAATAAGGGGAATCTCTATGGGACCCAACCTTGCGCTCGTTTTTCTGTAATAATTTTTAAGCAGCTGCGGCTAAGCCTCTTCAAAACATACTGAACGTTGGCAGATTTAAAATATTTTGACGTAAAATTGGCTAGCCCGGCGCTGCTAGCTAGAGCGCTGATGCGCTCGAGAGGCAGTACGTGCTAGAGCGTGGATCGTCTAGCGAGATTGAATTAGATTCAGCCTGTCCTCAGCAAACCGTCCTCTCCGTGTATTATTACTTCTGCCCAAACATGCTCACAAATAGGTGGAGGTGCGGAATGACACCCCTGCGTTCTTCTTCGCCTACGGCTTAGACGCCTTCAAGTACCGCTGTCAGTCAACGCCAATCTGGAGCTGCGAAGACGCATTCTACCTAGGCTTGCTCAATACCATTGGTAACCCCACCTGCGGTCCTCCTGCCTCCACCCGCACAAGCGAGTGAAATTCTAATGCCGCTAATTTTCTCGCCCTCCGGTCTCCGAGACCCCGAGGTCTCTCATGGCTCGGTGACGAAGACATGGATGGATGGGCTGACTCCTAAGCTCGGTTGAATTTACGGAACCGCTGGGATGACCCAACCAAGCTCATAAATATATATATATATTTTTTTATCTCAGCGATGCTGCGAAGACGTGGCTCTTCAATTACGAAATATAAATTCTTTTACGATACACAATCATTTCCCAGAATAAAAAAAAAAAAAAAAATCGTCGTCCTCAAGGCTGCAAGGCGACTGCTCGCAAGAAACTCGCAACACGATCGCCCCTGCTCTCTGAAGGCTACACATCCTACATAACGGATGTATTCACTCTGTGCAGAAGAATCGATCCAAAGGTACCCGAAACAGATCATGTATGACATGTGCTTCAAAGGATTGCAGACGAGGCCGTCCCCCCATTTGTCCCGCTAAGGGGCAAATGATGAAGGCTGCGTCCACCGATTGCAACTTCTGGTGCATGATATACGACCCGTTGGCTCAAGAGTATCTTCTGCGAGGCGTACTTTCGTCAGTCCCGATCTGACGAAGTGCAAACACATTTTATTTTTGCGACAAAATGGTGACAAACACCACTAAAACCGTCAGATGATGGGGCATTTTATAGCATACGTCGGGACACTAAAGCGCTCAACTTGGCTGCCGGTCGGTCAAGCCGTATTTATTGAACGAGCCAAGCAGGCTCGCTTGAACCCAGCCGAAGTACTACCTCTTTCACCGGCTCCTTTTCAAAGCCTGAGAACCCACTCTCCCTGAGGTATTTCTATTGTTATTTCCTATATTTTGCCTAAAAGAAAACGAACGCCTATCCAATGCTGGCCTTCATCATCGGCGGTGGCAGAAAAGAGGTGAAGAAGACGTGCACGAGATATGAACATTCGGCACGGCTCTTATGGCAGCCGACTGCTGCAAATGTTTAATGTAACTAGTATCAAAATGTTCTTCTATTTTTACTCAAGAAGATCAGATGAAGGGATCTTCCTTTTCTCGCTATATGTAGTGGGCTTTTGACGTCACGTGGCCAACCCTTGTTGCCCTAGGTAACGTGACGTGAGTTTCCCCGCTACATTTAGTGATTAAATTGCCGCTTACGGGACCAAGACGTAAAACACTAGATGCAAATTGCCCCGATGCTATTTATTGGAAAAATTGATATCGTGTTACTTGACCACGACACAAGTGAAAAGTGTATAAAAGCGCCATAAACGACAGGAAAAGAAGAGTGGAAACAACACGAAGCGCACTCGCAACTGAAGTTTATTTAAAAAAAGCACATAATAGGGGTCATAGTGGAACGATTATTTGTCGCAACAATCGATGAAACTCCTTGATAAAATAAACTATTTTTCTGAGAGAGCAAGGGCCGGCTCCCTGACGCACTCATTTTCCTTTCCCCTAATCTAGAATGCCTAGTGAACTTGTCGGTACAGTTTATATTTCGCTAGAATCTTAACATCACGCAGAACTGGTGAGTATGTGCAACGGCGACAGTGTATGGCGAGATTACCAGAATCACTTGCTTTCATGACTGCCACGTGTTCGCGTGCACGAAATTTGATTCACCTACCCGCCTAACAAATGTACACGGAACCGCAAGTCATCAGCGGTATCTCGTACACAGGATGAGGATGATTCCTCACATGGGCACTCGTCCCAGGACGATTGGTCACAGGACGATTCGTCATAAAGGCACATTCGTCACAGGATGACTCGTCATGTGGGCAACTGGTCACATCGATGGGGCAGGGGACGATAGTAAATTGTAAATTTTAACAACTGTCCACATTCCCTGATGAGAAGTTTCCCGACTTCCCACTGTGACATAAACCAGTGGTTAGGAAAACTAATCTTACAATACTCATCCGCTTTTCCTTTCACCATATTACGAGTCTTCAGCAGGTTGATCTAAGTGGCTGGCTTGAACGAGCAATAATCCGACTGGCAGCCAAATCAGTTTTTACTTTGGCCTTGCATACGCCTCTTCGACAAAACCAATAAGTACCGGAATTCTTTCTGCTGCATATGTACGAGTACCCCTCGTGCAGCTGCATGGCTCCACCTCTTTCTGTTGCGATCACCTCCATCCTTTTTAATGTAGCCTGAGTAAAAAAATAGTCGCTCTTATATGGTCTCCGCAATTCACTGTTCGGGACGGACCCATAAGCTAAAACGTCTGTTACAAATTCTTCGACCTTGAGAAGCGAAAGACGTGCTGAGATAAAAGGTGACCCACTTTGTCAGGCCGAACCAACATTCAATATTCGGGACCGAACCAGAAGCTAAAACATTTGTTACAAATTCTTCGCCTTTGAGAAGCCAAAGAAATAGCAAGATATGAGGTGAGCCGCTTTGTCCGCCCGAACCAAATTGAACAATACATAATTGGGGGGACGAACTATTGTTGAACCAGTTGGCCGCGTGACGAGTCATCCTATGACGAATGTTCCTGTGTGACGAATCGTCCTGTGGCCAATCGTCCTGTGACGAGTGCGCATGTGACGAATGGACCGTATCCCCTCGTACACCAACCCCATGGCACACTAGTGTTTTATGCTGCACTTCTCTTTATCTATTTATTTAGTCATCAGCGGTATCTCGTTCACCAACCCCATGGCACACTGGTGTTTTATGCTGCACTTCTCTTTTTCTATTTATTTAGTTGAGGATGGGTGATTCTGTGGCACAGACGTACAATTTGCCGCAGAAATTTTGAAACGCTGTGGAACTTTCTTTAGGTTAGGAGACATGGCGTGCCACTCAGGAAAGGCCACAGGGTCTTTTATGCTTTCCCTAAGATGACCTGAAGGTTAAAGCCCAAGCGCCGATGCATTAAAGACAGACACATGATTTACATAACTCACTTTGGTTCCTCTTCATTTGCTTTGTCATCCTTCTTAATTTCACTGCCTCGAATTTCCCTTAGTGCTCACGTAAACACGACAGCGAACCTCCGAGGACAGCGCGCTCCCTGCAGATTTACTTTTGGTGTACTATGGAACATTTGTGTCGCCAAAGTTTTCTCAAGGTACACTGAACGATGAGACATGTAAGGCTTTTGCCTTAATAATTGCCGGTCTCGTTTAAGGCTTTTACCTTCCCTTTTCGTTTGCCCCTTTAAATTTCTTTATCAATCCTTCCGCAACCTCAGCCAGGGAGCTTTGTGGGCTGCCTTTTGAAAGCGAGAAATATGTAAATTAAAACTGTCTTATACATAGTGTGCGCAAGGTTTAAGGACGCCTCCTGGCAAGTGTCAGCAATGTCCTTTTTGAATAATTTTGAGTGAAGAGACTCGAATGGCAGGATGACTTTTTTTTATCTTGGCTCGTACGCACAGCATATGTGACCTTCCAGAAAGCGTAGGTTTAGGCCTAAGAACTGCAGTGAGTGACCTTTCTACACGATTTTTAGAGGTAAACCTCAAACCATGAGAACCTGGGAAAACACATCGAGCATTCCAGGTGCAACGCCGTACAACGATCGCTCTGCCATATCGCCAAACAAAAGGTAGTCGCCAATATACCTAAAAATCTTCATCCTGCTGCCGATCCCCAATGTTTCATCAATGGCGTTGTTACAATTACTTTAAGGGATATCGCACAAAGCCAGCGCGACACAAGACCGAACGGCTTGCGTTGTTTCCACTCTTCTTTATTTCCGTCTTTTTTGGCGTTTTTATAATTTCACTGTAAATCAACTAGCCCGAATTTTCACTTCGCAACAAGGGACATTACATGATTATATTGCTCTAAACATTTTTTATGATCCCCACTCTACGTGGGTATGGACATGCTTATATATTTGTTCAGTACACTACCAGGAAAGCAAATTACCTAATCCGGGCAAGTTAAGTGGTCTTAGCGACCAAAAGTGGGCGAAGGGGACAAAGGAACTAAAAGAGCCACAAGGAGTAGGTAGGTCTAATAAGCAAGCGACTGACTAAAGTGCACTAATGCGTTAATAAGTTGAGAATGTCAACATACCTTTTGCCTTCAACGGCAGCAATTTGCTCGGCAGCGTGGCTCCAGTCAATGGCGCCTTCTTCATCGTTGATCCACCTGTTGAGTTCCAGCCTGTTGCCTTCGACCAAGTCGCTCAGCACGATGTGCTTGAATTTACTGGAGGCAATGAGCGAGCTGAAAACGACCGGGCCACTTCCCACGTCCAACAGAGTCTCGCCCTGAATCAGATCTACGGAAAGCGGACGAGAATTTTATAGTGCCCCAGATTCATTGTAGAAAAACAAAAACATAATATCGCTTCAATTCTGTTGCAAACATGATCCTCGCGCAAAAACGTTATGCATTTCGTATTCACTGATTATGTGTCTTCTTATGCTCGGGTGAGACACGAAACATCTAGCCGAAAAGACAATGCGAGGTAGGGAAGTTACTTCGTTTCACAGCCAGAACTCTTTTGGGTTCTCCCATGATGCCCGCTCTTCACCAACGTGACGTCGTTATTCTACGCCTGCGCGTGTGTGCGCGTGCTACGTTGGACATAAAACGAGACTTTAATCGTGAATACAACGATTATCACTGAGATGATGAGCACGGCAGAAAGGAGCTTCAGGTACAGAGCCTCCAAAGCGAGCTGCCTACTTTCGACGACGCTTCGGCGTCCCATGCACCTCGAGCGCGCACGCGCAGCAAGAGAACGCCGACGGGCGTGCAGCGTGTGCTGGAGGCCGGCCGTTCAAAATGACAAGCCTTGCCTCTGTCGGTCGGTAAATTACACACGAAAGTAGCCAGCAAAAAATACGTGTTCTTCAATTGTAATCTCTGGGGTTACAGCTCTTAACTAAAGAAGTCAAGAATCCGAACGTTTTATAATTACCCGATTGAAAGAAATTGTGGAGTCGTTCTATTTGGGAAGAGGAATATTTCCCAAAAACAAGCTCATCCAGATATTGCCGTGGTAGAAACCGTTCTTTGTACGCATCTCTCAGGGCTTGGGATGCCATGCTTTCCACACAGTGCGAAGTGGAGACCCTGGAAGCGAATACAAAGTTTACTTAAAATGTATCGTTCGCTACTTTCGTATTTCTTGCATTGTGTAGTTCACGATAACTAGCAAGCTTAACTTTCATTTGCATCCTTACATAGAGTTTTGCTTTGTATAGCTCTCTACGCAAAATATTTTAAACATGTATGGAAGAAGACAGACAGTGGCTCTCTTCACCTTATTGTGGATAGTCCGTTGATTCTTTTTACCCTATTGTGAAGCATAACGGCGTTTGTTTGACCTGTGAGCCAGACATCTATGCAACCCAAGCTATCGGGAAACACAAGGACAGGCTTGGAAGATTAATAACGGAGTCCTATCCGATGACCCGTGATGATTTGAACATGCCTCGACTTTCCTTAGGTGAACGAAGACTGAAGTAAAGCATCTGAGGCAGGAGCTTAAGTAGTCAGCTCATTTTCTTCTTCTTCTTTTCCGAATTATTTGGTTTGTTTGTTTTTCTTCGTTCTTTTAGATCGTTTTTCTCCGGTACGTTTTCTCAATATATTTCAATATCTTTTTGAATCACAACCTTAATAGTTCTTCTACGTTATTATTTATTTTCTTAAAAAAAATCTATTTTGTCCAATGTGTCTGCTTTTTCCGATGGGTTTACTTCCCCCCCCCCCCCCCCCCCCCGGATTTTTATGTGAAGGAAGGGAACGTGTGACGGAATTCAATGTGGCATCATTAATAATCGGTTCTTAATTGTAAAGAAAGCTGTTTGTCTTCGTGCCTACATGTTTTATTCTTTCGTGTTACCAAATCATCTGTACAAACCTGCTGTAGTTAATTTTCGTATATATTGCCGCGCGCCCAGTAGGCAGCGCGGCCGTAGCCTAAGGGTTATCGCGCTTGCCTTCCATGCAGAAGGCCAGGTTCGATTCCTAGCCGCGGCTACGCATTTTTGTTGACACTGTAATGTGATGTTCTGGTGAATTCGAGAACCGCCTTCGCTGATTCGAGGTTAGAATGTTCTACGCCCCGAACCTTCTACGCCGAAGGCTCCAGAAGACCAGGTGTGTACAAAAGCGGCTCCGCGTGGCAAGCCGGAGTCAGTGTCGCCCCAGCGTTCGACTATGGTGTTACGCCGACTTCGACGCCCGCGACGCTCTGTTACTATCTTTTGTACCCTTTTTGTTGGCACAAGTTTGCCACATTAAACGTTTATTTCTTCCTGTTTATTTATTGGTTTTTGGTCACCACCCGTGACAATATTAGAAACCAGAGAAGGTCAATAAAAAAGGTTAACCCGGCGTAAAATATCAAGTACAAAAATAATACAGAATGTCTAGTGAGACGCGTATATAGCCGAATAACGACTACATTTCGGTTATCCTTCCAGTACACGTTAGTATACTAGAATTAGTGTTCGACATCTTAAATATTGATTGTCGTTTACTTTCCTAGAAATTTATCTTCCGCTGTTAATATTTAGTTTCATTCAACTGAACAACCTTGGCTCAAGCTTGTTCCTCGTGAATTCTGTCTAAAATTGTATTTGCCGTTGGCATGGAAAAGTTATTTACGCAAAATACTTTAGCTCGAACTTCTTTTTTTGTTTTTGACGACAACTTTAATTTTGCTGATATGAGTCCCCAAGGGGCAAATCCAAATTTTCTCCCTGAAAATCTTGAAAAGAAATAGCGAAATGAACACCGCATTAAGTAGATTAACACGATCTTCTAAATTGTCCAATAGGAATTTTCGCGCATTTCCGAGTGTGTTTCGATGTACATGTTTTAAAATTTGGCAAAAAAGGGGGATATTCATCTTTTATTTTGGTAAATAATGTACCGCAGTAACAACGTACCAGAATCAGTACTGGAAAAACATATATGAATTTATATAAGAACTGATATGAAATATCCAAGAACTGATATGCGACATATGAAACTGATATGAAATACTTAAAAACTGACGTGCGGCATATGAGGAGTGATGTGCAACATATGCCAACTGACATGCAGCATACAAGTTCATATGGGGTGAAAATGTTAACTTATATGACTTTCATATCAAAATTTTCAATGTGTCCAATAAACAAACCGGAAATACATTCATATATTCTTTTTTCAGTACAATACGTGCCGCGCGGGAAAGTTAACTCGGGGCTTCGAACCGCCGTGGGGCGGCTTGATTTGTTGGCTTTCAAATATTACGGCATGAGCGTCGTCTTTTCACTAAGAGATTCATCCCCTGAGTCGTTTAAAATAATTTCAGAGGTATGGCATTACTGAAAATAAATCAACACGCTGGGAATATTATTTATTGTTTAGGTGGTCACCGAGAAGATCCGTATCAAAACGACCAGTATAAAAGCGGAAAGCCAGAGCTAAGGAGTAGTTATCCGGTGTGCTGTTGTATTCAGGTTTGTTGTGCCGTATATGTGCATTGCTCAATGTATATGTTCAGGTCTTGCTTGTGGTAGGCGTAATGTATCTACGTGGTGGCGTGAGCAAAAAAAAATATTTCATAGCATATGAATCGGGGGGTACCTAGCGCCACCTAGCCTACCTGAAACTGATATGCGACATATGAAGCATATGAAAAAACAAGTTATGATGTGAAAATGGTGTTCAATAAACATAACAGAAATAAATTCATATATTTTTTCTCGGTAGGTATATTACGTCTGTTCCGGGTTAGAAAAATGCTCACAAAAGTGTTCGGTTTAAAAAAATTTATTCAATGGCTACGAATAGTTTAAAGTGCACACAACGAATGGGCAAAGTTAGATAATAAATCGTATTAAAAAAGTAGAAAAAAAAAGTTTGGTTTTTAAAAATATTGCAAAATACAGTCTTATATGCAAAATATTGTTTTAAAACTGACCTAACCGGCCGAGTACTACAAAAAAAAAAGAAAAAAAAGAAAAGAGCGCAGCAGGAAGACAAGCATGCAAACGGGATCGGTTCCTGCGCTTGCGGAATACGAACATGGAGCTCGTTTCCTTTTTTTTAACATTTTCTTTTTACGATGCGAACGCATGGCGGGAATTAAAACTCTTCAGTTTTTTTGCGAAGCTGCCGCTGTTCCTAGGTTTTTAAATCGGCATTTGGTGGCAAAACACCGGAATCAAAGACAGAGGCAACATACCACAGGGATCGAAAGGGCTGTGGAGCCCGATTCAAATGCTGAAGACTAAAAAAAACTACCCGACGGGCACAAAACACAGGACTCATCAACGAGGCAAGTGACCTCTTGACCAAACAAGATTCAATGATTAGCCACGTTACTACCAAATCTGGAAGATTGCGAGCTATTCGCGATGAGATAAGTTAGTTGAATGAAGAGTTAGGAGAATAGATACCGGATAGTTCTTTCGAAACCAAATTTGAGGCAGTCGTCAAGTACAAAGATGAAGCGAGTGCCACCATCAGTGCTCTCGAAGGCAGAAAATATTTACTAGATCAGATATCGTCACAAGGGGCCCCTAGGGAACCTAGTCGTCAACCAACTGACACCGGGCGCATTAGACAAGCGTACGCAAGTACTAAATTACCTTAACTAAACATTATGCCACTCAAGCGTGAAATCACAAAGTAGTCAGCATTTCGACAACCCTTCAATGAAACGATTCACAAGAAGCTCTCATTGTCCACGGGCGATAAGTTCGGTAAACTTCGAATGTAATTGGATGAAAAAGCGGAAGCAGGTGTGGCTAGATTACCAAGGAATGTAACCTCTTTGCTACGCGGATGCACTAGAGGTCCTTAATCGACATTTTTGCGAAAGAAATAATTAATGCACAGCTCTTTCTTCATACTGAGTTTGATTTCACTTTTTACATCATCCAACACACCTCGAGTCTACGAACAATGTTAGACTAGGTGCAAATAAAGATACAGGCTCTCCAAATATTTGGTCGAGGGAGCTCCCCCCAAGTTTGTTTCTATGCTCTTCGATATTTTGAGGCGAGCTCTGCCACGCGATATTGCCGGGATCTTCCACAGATCCGCTGTGGCGATCGCCATGCGTGCTGTCAGTTGTCAACCTGACCGCTAGGAATTGGCCCGACGGCTTGATTTTTTATCTTTCGACGTCGAAATTCGGGAGAAGAGCGTATTTAAGACCATATAAACGAAGGACACAAAGACCACGAGATACGAGGGCAACTTTTCTTGACGAGAATTCTCTAGACCGATCGCGTCGTTGCTCCACAACTGATCTTCACAACATTAAACGAAATGCTGCTTCTGCAACGGAACAAGCCGAAAGATTGCTTTAGATATCTTGGATTTTATTAGCGCAAAACAGTCTAAGGATATAGAGCGCCAAAGTTTGTATGTACTTTCAGGAACGGTTTTTTTTTTAGAGAAGAACGAAAGCTCTAGTGGATAGTGGTAAGACGAAAGGATGGACATGAATCTGTATATAAAGAATGTGAACGAAAAAGCTAAAAGCTGCAATGGTAGTTTAGGGTCGGCGTAAACGTATTGTGCTTTCTAAAAGTTTGAAATATGTATGATTTATTAAAGATTTATCTCCAAGCCAAAAATCAAGGTGTAGGAGCATGTGTGTTGCGTAAAACTGGGCGAAGTGGAAATGACGATATCTGTTATATGCGGAGCATTCAAGATGCATATGCACCACAGTTAATATGTCTAAACAGTCTTCGCACGTGCGTGTACCCTCTCGGCTAAACAGATGCCCTTGAATCAAATGCGTGGAGCCAATTCTTAACCGACAATGGGCTTCCTGCGTCCGCTAGGAGCTACTACCCCTCGTCCAGCGAACAGCGCCGCGCTAATACACACATACACTGAGTTAGATCTGCAGCGTGCCAATAGACGACCCCGAGAAAAAAGTCCTTGTGACGAGCATTCGCGCACTTCTCTGGCGTCGACATCACAGCATACAGCCTGTTGATTTCGCAGGCCCATCAATTTGTAGTTTACGCCTGATGCTTATAATGTCACTCGTGATATTTTGGCCACGAATGGCAATATAATATGGTCGTTTTGTGGTATTAATAGAGTATGCTGTAAATATCCATATTCCTTGTGGCAGATGTAGACAAGGTATTATCCACTGCTTCATTGGCAGGTAACTTCACGTGGCTCAACACCCAGCAAAAGACCATCTGCAATTTGTATTCCACAGCTGCAGCAACCACTTTTACGTTGTAGATGAGTGATTCGAAGGTTTTTCACTCTCTCAATGGATCTTAGCGCTCCCAGAGTATTTAGTGACACAGTGTATAGACTACATACTAGAGATG